TGTGGAATTCATTGACACAGAGCCTGTTTGCAACAGTAGGAGGAAGTTGCATAGTGATAGCATTAATTTTGATCCTAAAAAGTGTGGCACTCAAGACAGCCCAGAGGAACTTCCAAGTTCCTGCAGAAAAGAATGGGAAAGAATCAAACCCACACAGACTTGGAATTGCTTGTCCAGTAAAAAGTTCTAAATAAAAATGGGTAAATAGCCATGCAACCTATATGAATGGAGGTCCCACAAAATGCCATACCTCCACGTAGTGTCGTAAGCCTTCTCAAGGTCAAAGAACACGAAAACAAGATGTTTCCTCTGGAGGAAGGATTCCCTGATCGGCGTTTCAAGTCGAATCAGGTGGTCCACAATGGAGCACTGTTGACGGAACTCACACTGGGTGGGCAAGAGGAGGTTGTTTGATTCAAGGAACCAAACAAAACAAGCAGAAGGAATTAGAAGGAATCTTGGGAACCTTCCCAGGTTTAGAGAAAGGGAGGACAATAGCCTAGTGCCAATAGCCTCAAAAGCATGGGATACCTGCAAAAGATATCCCAGGCCTGTTTTTAAGCCTTCCGTGTCTCGTGGCAGACAGGACTCCACCATGGACGAGGATACTGTGGAAAACATATCGAGGTCTAAGGATAGAGTGAGCAACTTCCTGGACTATACAGTCAGTCACTGCTACTCTGCAGTCATCGATTGATGGCAGACAGACAATGCCAGGATCAAGTTCTGAGAGAGCAGTGAAAGAAGGCCAGTTAGCATGGTCCAATTTACACCGTGACACTTAGGTCGAAGCATATCCAAAAAGGCAGAGTTAGGCCTAGTAGATTCCATAGGAGTGGCATGGGAAGACACAGCATAGTTAGGAGGAAGGAAAAGGCTGTCAAATTGCTCCTTGTCACAAACAGGTTCAGACGATGCAGGAAGCACCCAAAATTTTTGGGAGGAGAAGGATGACTCGTATAACGATCAATTTTCCAATGAATGATAGTAGAAAAATCCTTAGTCGAGACCCCCAGACCTGAATCCTGTGTTATGGCACTTGAAATAGTAATAAAACTATCAGAAGTTGTAAAACACAAACTTCAGATTCATCTTGAATTGGAAAGAAGTTAAAAATGAGAGAAAAAAATCAATAAACAAAGGTAATGTAAGTTATTGTGTCAAACTACTACAGAAAACTGTAGTAAATGAATAAATCAAGTAAATCACTACTTTGCAAAAAATAATTAAATGAACACATGAAAAGAGTACAATTGAAAAATGTCTCCAATAGATATCACTGTCTATTAATAATTCATAGTTCGCTAGAAGCGAATAGAGAGAGTCACATGCATCAGGAGGGTGTGTCATACTCCTAATGATGGGGGATTGTCGCATGACGATTTACATGTGAAACACAGCTCAAGGCTTGTGGTACGCAAAATAAATTTTCATATAGAGGGTGGCACTGAATGAGAATAGCTATCCATGCGAGTGTAGGTAGTGTATTGGATTGGAACATATGTTTAAACTATTCCTCTTTTTTTGCAGAAATGTAGAACTTTCTATC